TCCATACCTACACCAAAACCAACCACCACCCAAGAGCCAATAAGCTCCAGTACAAGACATACCACGCAAATTCTTTAGCAACGCAGGAACATAGACCTGAGTGTCAACATACAGGCTCTCCAAAGTCACACCTAACACAGAGACCCATCGCAAAACTCATTACTGGACACTCCATTGCACTCCAGAGAGAAGAAATCCAATTCCACGCACCAGAACGCTGACACAAGCTTCCCTAACCAGGAAACCTTGACAAACCACTGAACTGTATACTTAAAAATGGTTAAGATGGCAAATTTTATGTTACGTACATTCTACAACAATAAAATTGGGTACTTGTGCTCAGAAATTCATCTTCTGGTGGAAAAGAGAAACACAGTTGTAAGCAGACAACCACAAAACAATGTGATGTGATGACAACATACACGGAGAAATCAAACCTGGCAGCAGAGCAGGAAACGAAAGGTTTCTCAGAGGTGGCATTTGACCTTTAGGATAGACAAGCTAACAAAAAGGACAAGTTAACAAAAAATTTACGCCCACCAAGAAAACAGAAGTAACACAAAGAACATCCAATTGAAATTTACCAATACAAAGCTGAATTTACAAGCTACAACCTTAAGGAGAAATGTGACTGAGACACAGATGCACAAGTCTTATACTCTTACCTCTTGAATTTCATCTGGGACAGTTGAGTCCATCAGTCTGAAGAGCAAATTTCGAAGTGGACCTGCCTGTCTCCCAAGGATGCTAGTAGCTACCCCTCCCGCAAGTGCAAGAGCAAGGTGATTTGAAAGCAGCTTCAGGCACAGTTTGAGGAAATTGTGGTGTTCCCTGAAACCAAATACACTGCTATAAACTTCTGGAATATAAAAGAGCACATGCTATCTACTTTGGGTAACATTTTTTCTCTCTTTAAAATTTTTTTCAAATTATGACTAATAGTAATTTTAAAAACATGGCTCATGAATTTATGGATAATTTTTCCTAAAGCTTATTATCAGTACATATGCATGCTGAGCTCTTTTTTTGATTATAAAATTTCATATAATTGAGGGAGAAATTGAGTAAGAAAGAATAACTCAAAATTCAAAATGAGTAATAGATATGTGTGCACGTGTGCACATACAGACACATTCAAATACACACATATATATAACATACCTTGATGAAGGGAAAGGGAGTGGGGGAATCTCACTGTTTATTTTATCACAGTATCTCTCAAGAAATGAACGAAGGTGTGAGAAGGTACTCTCTTCAAGATCTACACAATAAGGTCGGTGCCAGGCAACAACTTGTCTAGAAGGAAGCATAAGAAAATCATGAAATACCCTTAACATGAAATTTTCACACACAATCAAAAACAAAAATTAAGGGTACTAAAGTTGAAAGATGCCAATAAGATATACAAAGACCTTTCTGATTATAAAGGTGATAAAAACCCTTCATTTTAGCGACTGAAGAAGACCAAGAATCTGCAATTTCTAGAATTCTTCAAGAAGAAAATATATAGCCACTACTTATTTTAGGAGGTCTGGATATTCATTCACCTTAAGTCAAAATGCTGAACCACATGAATTACTATAGCCCCTTCTGGTTTTTAGGATCCATAAGATGTACAGTTCATATTAAGAAAAATAGCCTGACTCTGTACAGTGATATCTTGAAATGTAGTGGGTGGGCCAAAAAGTTTGTTTAGGTTTTTCCATAGGATTTATGGAAAAGCCTGAAAGAACTTCTGGCAAACAATACTAAAAGAAAACCTGTTCAAAACTCTTGTGAAAATTTTCAAGATCTTGGGAATCATTTTCTACATATAAGGTGGAAAGGTGCAGATTTAACACTGACACTAAGTTATTTATATTCAATTTATTGTATTTTCAGCTTTTGTTTTAGAGGGTAATTATCTATAGATGTTTAAAATCGGTCAGAATGCTATGATAAGCCATATCTGAACCAAAGGTTTAGAATACAAATACAATATATTCCAAATTATTAATTAGCCCATATACATCTGAACATAGATGAAATAACTCCCAAATTTCTTAAAATTCAATCTTCAAATATTGGCTAAAAATTACCTGATTATCTAAAAAGATAGGGTTATCATGTTAGGAAAAAGTTAAATTTCTGCAAAAAGTAACTTCCTTCATCTAAAAGTATGGCCACTGCTTAAAAAAACAATGACAGAGATAAAGGGCATGGAAGCTAATTAACTATTATTAAAAGGCAATGACACCGAGTTCTGATTTTTATTGTTTTAATTTAGTTTCCTCCTGATAAGTGGACACAATTTTTAAGATCAGTATCTGGAGAGAGAGAGAAGGAATTCAAAATGTTTAAAAGACACTTAAATTAAGATAGCATTTTAATGTACAATCTTGCTTATGAAATACATTTAACCTCAACATTCAATTTGAAAGATATCTAGATGGCATGTCTATGACAGTAAAAAAGCCATCATCAGAAACATTCAAAAGACTATTTTAAGGACAATGTTCTATTATTTCTGCTTCTATGAGTGTTTTTGTTAACAAGACACAGGACATTGTAAACAGGGGCACACTCACCTGTCCCTAGGAAGAGCAGTCCACGCTAGACTGTGTGATGTTCCGGCAGAGATCTGCTGAATGGCGATGCCATCTAAGCCGCTTACTTTCTTTGGTTTAGTAATAGGACCTGTGGAGTTTCCTTGTCCACACTGCCCCATTGAGTTATTTCCCCAGGCATAAACTTCATTATCTGAAAACAAAATATAAAGAACAAAAGAAAACTCAAATTTAAATGCACAACACTGGAATTCCCCAGTGGTCCAGTGATTTAAGAATCCACCTGCCAATGCAGAGGACACGGCTTCAATCTCTGGTCTGGGAAGACCCCACATGCCACAGAGCAACTAAGCCCGTGCCCCACAACTACTAAGCCCACATGCCACAACTACTGAAGCCTACGACCCTAGAACCCACAATTCGTATGCAACAAGAGAAGTCACCATAATGAGAAGCCCGCACACTGCAACAAAGATCCAGCACAGCCAAAAATAAGAGAAATAAATAAATGTAAAACACTTATGAAAGGTAGTATTTAACACTATCTCTTTAAAAACAAATGATCTTACCATGAGAAAGAGCCAAACAATGACTGTCTCCAATAGAAATATCAACTATTCTTGTGGCAGCCAGTTCTTCAATAAGCTTTGGTCTCAGTGCAGTAGCTTCTGATGAACCACAACCTAGACAAGCTCCACAGCCCCAAGCATAGACCTGAAACAAACAAAAATACACTATACGTTAGGGTTTCCCTGGTGGCTCAGTAGTAAACAATCCACCTGCCAACGCAGGAGACACAGATCAATTATTGTCAGTCTATCACCATAGCTTTCACTTTATGGCAGAAAGCAAAGAGGAACTGAAGACCCTCTTGATGAAAGTGAAAGAAGACAGTGAAAAAGCTGCCTTAAAACTCAACATTCAAATAACTAAGATCATGGCATCCGGTCCCATCACTTCATGGCAAACAGATGAGGAAACAATGCAAACAGTGACAAGACTTTTTTCCGGGGGCTCGAAAATCACTGCAGATGGTGACTGCAGCCATGAAATTAAAAGACACGGGAACCCTCTTACACTGTTGGTGGGAATGCAAATTAGTACAGCCACTATGGAGAACAGTGTGGAGATTTCTTAAAAAGCTGGAAATAGAACTGCCATATGACCCAGCAATCCCACTTCTGGGCATACACACCAAGGAANTGGTTTTCCAGTATTCATGTATGGATGTGAGAGCTGGACTATAAAGAAACCTGAGCACTGAAGAATTGATACTTTTGAACTGTGGTGTTGGAGAAGACTCTTGAGAGTCCCTTGGACTGCAGGGAGATCCAACCAGTCCATCCTAAAGGAAATCAGTCCTGAATATTCATTGGAAGGACTGATGCTGAAGCTGAAGCTCCAATACTTTGGCCACCAGATGCAAAGAGCCATCTTATTAGAAAAGACCCTGATGCTGGGAAAGATTAAGGCAAAAAGAGAAGGGGACAACAGAGGATGAGATGGTTGGATGGCATCACCGATTCAATGGACGTGAGTTTGAGCAAGCTCCACGAGTTGGTGATGGACAGGGAAGCCCGGCATGCTGCAGGCTGCAGTCCATGGGGTCACAAAGAGTCAGACATGACTGAACAACTGAACTGAACCGATCGCCATAGCTGGACCCTTTCCACCACCAACGAACAGAGAGAATTTAAAACACGCATGGAGAAAATCAAAAGTTTAAAGGGATTACACAATTCTGACTATCTTAAGCCTGAATAACCCTTTTCCAAAAACACCTAACCCTCTCATTATTTTTCATCTGGAAATATTCTCCTTGATCTCTCTTTTGATCACCTTCTTGCCTTCTTAGTCTATATATCACTGCATCCAGCAAGATCTATTCTCACTTGCCCCCACTATTTATGAGTTCTAGGAAAAGGTTTAAAGGGTGCTTAGTGCTAGAAGGCTTTTTAAAATTATCTTAATACAAAGAACATGGAGTTAACAGGAAGTCTATCTAGCTCATGAAGGTCAAGTCAGAAAACTTCATTCCTTCTCAGACACTCAACATCTTCAAACAGGAGAAAATATTTCCTTTCAGTAGATTAACTTTAAAATTTAAATACAATTATTACTTTTTAGTCACCTGGCCCTCTGAAATACTCTCAACCTTTTATGCTCATCCCTTAGTCCTACCTGCCCTGTTGATGTCAAAGCAAGTGAAGACTGACTTCCAGCACAAACTTTACGAATGAACATTCCTTGTAAAGCTTCAATAACTTTAGGTTTATACACTCTGTTGGTATCACCATGGCCAAGTTTGCCTATAAAAACAAACATATTCAAGTTAAACAACTTATTTGTTTCAAAGAAACTTTACTCTTTTTCTAACTATTAATGTTGATAAACATCACTAACTTTTCCATGACTAGCCTGACAAATTGTTCACATCTTAGAAAGCTCATCTTAGAAAACTTAGAAACATCTTAGAAAACAGAGTTTCTGATAGCAGAGGATATCAACAAATGAATGGTTTCATTACAAGAAAAAAAAAAACAATAAACAATACATTTCTTTAATTTCAAGCAATAAAAACCACTTTAAGAGAGATACAGAAAATTCATTTACTGTCTTTCTCATCTTTAATGGTCATATTTCTAACTTCAAATTTGCTGATAAAATAAACAGGTCCTATACAAGAATGTGTGGCCTTCTCAGATGGCGCTAGTGGTAAAGAACCCGCATACCAAATCCAGAGATATACGAGATGCAGGTTTGATTCCTGGGTTGGGAAGATTCCCCTGGAGGAGAGCACAGCAATCCACTCCCAATATTCTTGCCTGGAGAATCCCATGGACAGAGGAGACTGGGAGGGATGGTTACAGTCCACAGGGCCGCAAAGAGTCAGAAAGGACTGAAGCGACTTAGCATACACATTCAAGAATGTGTATACATATAATTATTTTTTATTTTTTTAAAAAGACTCAATAATTCACCAAACAAAAAACTTGGCAAATCACCAAAGGCAGGGGAAAAAATGGCCAAGAAACTCCCTAAGAAGTAAATACAAGCTAAATACCATTTCACTATTGAAACTATTTTTTAAATCATCTTAGTTTTAATTGCCAGTATTTATGAGGGATATGGGGAAGTGAGCAGTCCCATATTGCTGGTGAGAGTGACTAAGAAAAGTAGGAAAAGACTGTCATTCACTATTCTGTTTTTGATACTGAAAAAAACTGGAAACAGTCTAGATATTCAACAATAATAAATTGCTTTGTAAGTTTTGCTACAATCACATGAAAGAATACTTTGAGCCATTGAAAAGAAAAATGTACAGCCATATTTGTTGACACAGAAAGATATTCATAAGATACTATTAGACAAAAACCAACAGGTTGCAAGATAGTATCTATGGTATAGATAGGTCCGCTTTCTTTTTTTAAAACATCTATATAGAAATATATGTACATATTTACATAAGTGCATATGTATAACGTTGAGATGTCTATCTCCCAAAATTTTAACAATGTTTATGAGCAACATCTGCAGAAACAGTTCATTTAAATTTTTTCAACGTCAGAAAAAACATTTGCTCATCTGTATTTGAGTTCTCTACAATAGGCTTATACAACTGAAAAATAAAAATTTTAAAACTCAAGGAAAAAAAATACCAAAGTTATCAATAAATAATTTTTTACATACCATTGTCTCCTCCTCCAAAAGACCATACAGTTCTCCCATCTTTAGATAAAGCAATAGTATGTGAACTGCCACAAGAAACCTCTCCTACATTGCTAATGTCTTTTACTAATGTTGGAATGTTACGGCTATTACTGTCACCATGACCTTGGATAAAACACACACAACAACAAAGAAATAATGTTAACTTTTTTTTAAGTCATTACTTCACAGGTAGAATAAACATTACAACTTATTTACAGAATTGAGGAATTTTTAAAGTGCAACTAAATATGAAAAACTGAATCATTTCAAATATCTTTGCAACTAATCTTCTCGGCTGCTCAAAATATGAGGTACCCAGTTGCTTCAGGGAATCAGCAGAACATTCTATCATGCTCCTCTCATAGCACGTATCTATAGCTATCTAGTATGATGTTAATGTTAACTTGTTTTCACTACCTCTATATTACCCATTTTAGGATCACTTCAGGATGGTATCTTTCTTATCCCTGAAATCCTGTAACGCCTGTAGTAAATACCTGCTAGATTTAATTACATCTTAAAAGCACCAGAATCTAGGTACTTTCTCTATAAAATTATCTTTCTCTGAGCTTAAAACTAAAAAAATAAACAACAGTCTTTGGCTTATCAGTCTCACTGCTTCTCAATAACCACTGTCATCTCTATTTTTCTGTGAAAATAACTTCAATTATTAAAAAATCTTACCTAATCTTCCAAAATCTCCTTCACCCCATGTGTATAATTCACCATCCTCTGTGACAGCAGCACTATGTCTGTATCCAGCCGACACACAAACAACTACCTGCATTGCACACAAAGGGAATCTGATGAATACAAAGATGATAAAATACAGAGCTCACATTTGATTTTACGCACAGAAACTTCAGAGATACTGATGTTCACAACTCATCCAGGAAGTGCCATGTACAGTTTAGAAGCTTTTGCTTCAGACAAGGGTGCCTAGCTAAAGGGTCAAGAAAGTGCTGAAATACAGCCAGAGCTCTGTTGGCCAAGCCACAAGCTCTGCTTCCACCAAGAAAGAACAACTTTTCTTAATTCCCACAAAGAAACTGTAAAGATTAGCAGCAACCTCTCACCCCTTGCCTCCCCGCCCCAAATACATCAATCTAATCACTTGCAACAATACTACACCACCAATCAACTCTTTACTCAAAGAGCTGGATGGGGCTGAACACTCATGACACAATGAAAAAATTTTAAATAGAACATTTAAACTTTTAAATATAATCCAGTCCTGGTTAATCACGAAAAATTCATTACATAATAGGGCTAACTCTCAAAAACACACTGACTGTTACCAAGGAAAGAAGATCTAAGGAGTATACAAGTTTATATCAATTAAACTCCTAACAGTATCTCTTTACCCTCAAATAGCTACAGAGTTGATAAGCAGAATCAGGGAAATAAGGGTATATGGCACCACAATTTGGGGGATCACTTATACCTTTTAACAATGATCAAATTCACTAACTTCTGAAAAATAAACAGAAAAATAGCCATACTAATAACCACATTTTTTAATCTGCAAAAGTCAGAACTCACTTTAGAAAATCTAAGATTCAGTTAAAAATACTGAGCACCTAATACATTTTAGATAATCCATTAAGAATTTCTGAAATTTTTACCTGTAAATTATTAATTCATTTTGGGGGACTTTTTCCTTCATGATATTCATACTAAGTTATTTTTAACTAGTAATGTTTCCACTGTAAAATGGAACATTAAAAGAATGTAAGTAGGGAATTCCCTGGAGGTCCAGTGGTTAGGACTAAGCACTTTCACGGTGGTGGCCTGGGTTCAATCACTGGGTTTAAAGGCATGAAACAGGGCCAAAAAATTAAAAACAATGGCAAGTGAGAAAAAAGGTACTAGAAAAACTAAAAACAATATAATTTTAAAGAGTATTTATGTGAAGTTTCTTAGAAGTTTCTTAGAGTCCCATATTCAACACTTTATCAAAAGATCTCTTGACATTAAGTGGAATGTTCTCAGGCTCATTGCTTTAAGGCTGATGTCTTAAAGTTAAACATTTAAAGTTATAATAAAGTAAAATTCATTTGCTCCAGCAAATACCAGACCACCGGACCTGCCTCTTGAGAAATGTGTAAGCAGGTCAGGAAGCAACGGTTAGAACTGGACATGCAACAACAGACTGGTTCCAAATAGGAAACGGAGTACGTCAAGGCTGTATATTGTCATTCTGCTTATTTAACTTCTATGCAAAGTACATCATGAGAAATGCTGGGCTGGATGAAGCACAAGCTGGAAAAAAGATTGCCAGGAGAAATATCAATAATCTCAGATATACAGATGACACTACCCTTATGGCAGAAAGTGAANTGGTTCATGGGGTCTCAAAGAGTCGGACATGACTGAGCGACTGAACTGAACTGAAAATTCATTTGACGGCCAACCTTGTCAGACAAATTCCCATGAAAGAAAAGTATCCCACTTTTAATTCTGGTATAAAATAAAATTTAAATTTTAAAGGTTTTTATGAAAGAAAACATTCATAGAAAGAATGCAATCTTAAAATGGAGGAACTTACAAAATTGCATAAAAATAAGTTAGGAAAACGACTTCATTTCTTTAAGGAAAGGTAAAAGAGAAACAAAAAGAGGAGTTGTAGATTCAATTTCTAGTGGTGCTAATTATTTGTATGTGACCTTAGGCAACTTACTTAACCACTTTTAATGCCTCATTTAAGTTTTTGTTAAAATCCCATTTACTCCAAGAGAACCTTCTGATCTCATTATCTAGTATCACACCCCACCAAACTTAGTATGTTACATTACTCAATTTTTTCTTTACCATTATTTGAAATTACTTTATATGCTTGCTTATTTATTATCTCCAGCCCACAGTTTAAAGATCCACTAGAGTAAGGATCTTGTCTCTTTTGTTCACTGTGCTGTGCTTATTCACTCAGTCATGTCTGACTCTTTGCAACCTCATGGACTGTAGCCTGCCAAGTACCTCTGTCCATGGGGCTTCTCTAGGCAAGAACACTGGAGTGGGTTGCCATGCCCTCCTCCAAGGGATCTTCCCAACCCAGGGATCAAACCCATATCTCCCATATTGCAAGCAGATTCTGTACCATCTGAGCCACCAGTGAAGCCCAAGAACACTGGAGTGGGTAGCCAATCCTTTCTCCAGAGGATCTTCCCAACACAGTAATTGAACTGGGGTCTCCTGCACTGCAGGCAGATTCTTTACCAGCTGAGCTACCAGGGAAGCCCCATTTGTTCACTATTATATATCAAATGCCTAAAACATTGCCTGGCACTTGGAAAAGAAAGTGAAGTTGCTCAGTCGTGTCCGATTCTTTGCGACCCCATGGACTGTAGCCCACCAGGCTCCTCCATCCATTGAATTTTCTAGGCAAGAGTACTGGAGTGGGTTGCCATTTCTTTCTCCAGGGGATCTTCCAGGCCCAGGGATCAAACCCAGGTCTCCCACATTGCAGGCAGAGCCACCAGGGAATCCCATATAAGGTACTAGATAAATTTTTTAAATGGATGATTCTCAGTTTCCTATCTGTAAAATGAAAATAATAACTGCTTTAACAAAGCTGTTAGAAGAATTAAAATTTAAAACTATACGTGAAAGTGTGCTGTAAACCATCAAGCAGACATACAAAAGATAAGCCAAAGGGTTAGGAGGAGGGCTACCTCAGAATACACCAAAATCTGAAAGGTATTGTCAATTATAGCAATCCTAAGTACCAGTGCAACTAATTATTTTTAAATCCAAAAAGAAGGCACATACCTTTCCCTGCAGAGGGCCCTGAATAAGTTTGGGATATTTCTGTGTTGAACTATTTCCATGTCCCAGTTTCCCATAATCACCATCTCCCCAACTGAAGACTTCTCCTTCTGTAGTGAAAGCTAAAGTATGACCATCAGATCCTTTAGAAGATGAGACCTTTTTAATGGACCTGTGAGGCTCAAATGTTAACTTTTTTAAAGTAGATTGATTATTAGAGTCTCCAAGGCCTAGTCTTCCATAGCTGCCTTTACCACAAGCTCTGACAGAGCCATCTGTAGAAATGACAAAAGTGCAGTACTGTCCAGCTTCAATCTATAAACAAACAGAATGAGATATAAAATGCTTCTGTGAGAATCAAACTATAATAGTAAAGTTTATCTTACCAAAGAAGCTCAAAGAAAATCTTTTAAAGTGGAAATGCATCTCCACAGAGATTAAGAAGTAAACAGAAAAATAAAGAAAATTATTAATGGCCTATTCACATTGACTTCATTGTTAAATTAATGTAGATTTTACCTTTTCAGGTTATCTATCCAGTTTTGGTTCAATGAAACAACAAAGTAAAATGTTTCATCCTCCTTTAAAATAACTGGTGAAGAGAAAGAAGTAAAATTTTCCTGTAATTCCTTAAGGTCCATTATAACAAGAACCATGTAACATTTATTCTAAATTCATTTGAGAAAAACATATATTTTAATGAAAATAAAAAAGAAAGTTCCAATTTGCCTAAAAGGTAGCTACAAAGGTAAAAAAGTGATCACAATAAGAAAATGGAATGTCAATATGGCAAAAGGAAAACTCTAATTTTTACCTAGTCTAAAATTTACTATTTGTGTTGAATATATGGTAAGTCTGTTGACATTCATAATTCTTTTTAAAACTCCTGATGCAAATTTGATTTTTTAAAACTTGGAAATACTGTTAGGAAAATGAGGGACTTAAAATAAGTTTTTCTATAAAAATGCAAAAACTGACACAGTATAGTACAAGAACAAAATACAGATAAGAAAACAAGCAAGAACATTCACTCAGAATAACAAAAACCAAAAAAAACCCCACTCATAACATTATTTAAAGCAAACTATGTCATCTACCAATTTGTAAAGTAAGAAGAGAACTCACAGTCTGAGCATCAGAGAAACTAGGAGCCAGTTTGGGTTGTAGTATTTTCTCCTGTGTGCCTTCTACCAACTGATGGCTGCTATTGCTCCCCCAAACATAAACCTCACAGGTTTCTGAAACAATGGGAGTATCACCAGTCTGAATGCTATCAGGGCTAGCACATGTTCTTGAGTAATCAGAAGCCATTCTGCAAACCTATTAAAATAAGAAACATGCAATGAACACTTAAGACATTTTTAGTATAGATATTTTTATAGATATTCTCTGAAATTGTTGACTTTCTTTCTTCTAGAACTATCTCAACTGCTCAAATAACCTAAGAACAACACATTCAATCTTAAACACAGATAGCTAGATTACGTACTCCTACAGAAAAAAATCACTAAAAGATACTAACAAACGTGGCAAAAATGGGGAGCAGAAGACACAATCAAGCTTTTTATACCTAAATATTTTATTAATGTATAAAACAGCATTATAGAAAAACATTTAGAAAAACTCCACCTTTAATAATTCCATCACCTTAATATATGTTACCTTTTTTTAATATATGTCCTTCCAGAGTTCTGCATATACATGTTTTTTAACAGTTATCACAGTGGATATACAAGTGATGACACAAAAGGACCATACAGAATTTTGTCTACCTAGTCTTCATAATTGAGCCAATAATATTTCATCTGATGTAAAAATCACAATTTACTCAAGCATTTTCCTTTAAAAGGACATTCAGATTCTTTCTACTTATTAGTTATATAAGCCATTTTTAACAAATAGCTGCTGCTACATGTTTAATTACTTCCCTTAGTAGAGAAACTCAGAAATGGGACTACTATATGCAAAAAATGCCAATAATCATACCTGAAAGATACCATAACAAATTGCCTTTGAAACTGGTGTTATGATATTATAAACAAAATGAGGGCTTCCCTAAAAACAATAGTGGCCCACAGCAATTCAACACTCACACATGTATCTACACATATCTATACATGTATATATGTGTATATATATATGTATAGATATGTGTAGATATATGTATATATGTGTATATATATGTATATCTCAATATATGTATATATGTACATTATCTATATAATCTAGCTACATTATCTATACATTATATACAATTGTATATAAATTATCTATACATACATTATATATATTGTATGTACATTATATACAATCTATATACATTATCTATATATGTATATATGCACATCTATATGTATATATAGATATAGCTATATTAAAAAATCATGGCTTATTTACCATTTGTGTTGAATATAATGGTAAAGTCTACTGCCATTCATAATGCTTTATAAAAATTCAGGCTTCTCCTCTCCCCTCCTCTCTCCTCAAAACCCTGCCAAAAGCACCGAACCAGGGTTGTCATCACAGTTTTCCTAACCAATGAACAGGCCTATGTAAGAGTAACAGTCTCACTGCATTCACACCAATAATTATTATGTTTTAAATTTTTTTGGAAACTTCATTGGGGAAAAAGAGGATGCGTTCTTTTAACTTCACAGTTCCTTATTATCAACAGAACTCAAATTTTCCCAACTACTTGCTTACCACTAACTTGCATCCATTTATTTATTAAAGCTCAGTGGATTTTTTTATTGACCTGTATGAATCCCATACAATAAAGATATTATCTCTGACAACAGCAGTTGTCAATTTGTTGACTGCCTTTTAAAGCTTTTTATTTATTTATTGGTTTTGTTTTTTTCTGAATCAAGCAAAATAAAAGAGGAATCTTTAAAAGCCAAAGTATTATATCACCAGACCATTAAATGGGAAGGTATAGAGTAATTTCAGTCAGAACCTTTAAACAGTACCCAAAAACAAGAGAATACGTGTGTCAAATAATTTTCAGTGAACATCAGGAGAGTTCTGAGAACACACAAAATGTGAATAAAGGCTGCTAGTCCTTAATAAAAAGATCTGAAATTCTGCTGCCAACAAAAAGATGATGGGCTCAAGTAAGTTAGAATTTATCTCAAGATCTATTACAGTAGTCTCCCTTTTTCCAATTTCACTTTTTGTGGCTTTAGTTACTGGCAGTCAGCTGTCATCTGAAAATATTAAATGGAAAATTCCAGAAATAAATAATTCATAGATGTTAGACTGCACACTGTTCTGAGTATCATCCCTTTGTCCAGCATAGCCACGCTGCATAAACTACTCACCCATCAGTCACTGCACAGCCATCTGGTAGCCAGCTCAACTGCCAGCATTCTGGTGCCTATGTTCAAGTAACCCGTGTTTTACTTAACCATGGCCCCAAAGTACAAGGGAGCTATGCTGGCAATTTGGATGTCCTCTTACTGTACCTAATTTATAAATTAAGTTTTAACATAGATATGTATATATATAGGAAATAACATGGTATTTATAGGGTTTGGTACTATTTACAATTTCAGGCATCCATTGGGGGTCTTGGAATATATACTGAAGTGAAGTGACAGTCGCTCAGTTGTATCCAATTCTTTGCAATCCCATGGACTGTAACCAGCCAGGCTTCTCTGTCCATGGAATTCTCCAGGCAAGAATACTGGGGTGGGTTGCCATTCCCTTCTCCAGGGGATCTTCCTGACCCAGGGATCAAACCTGGGTCTCCTGCATTGCAGGCAGATTCCTCACCATCTGAGCCACAAGAGAGGCCCATTATATACTGGGTGGATTACCATTCTATAACAAGGCTTAAAAAATCATAGCCCTCCTTCTCTGACCCCCACAAAAAAGAAAGAGGAGGAGAAGTTGAGGGGACAGGGAAAGAGACGGGAAAGGGAAGGGGAAGAGGGGAAGAGAGAGAGAAGGAGAGGGAAGGAGGGGAAAGAGGAAGAAGTGGAGGGAATGGGGGAAGAAGTAAAAAAATTTATTCAAAAGACTTAAGAAATGTGGGGTGGGAAGAATTCTAGAAAGATGACAATAGAAGCAACAATATAGTTTTCCAAACACGGAATCACTGCACAGAACAAAAAGAAGGCAAAACTCCAAACTCATGCTTAACATTCACAATAAAACTAGACAAACATAGTTCCAGTAACTCCAAAATATGAGCAGGTGCAGACAAACCACTACCAAACACAGCATGTGCACAGTAATATATCTGTATAGGAAGAAGCCAGAGACTATCTGACAGATCTAAGAGTAAGAAAAAGGCCCAAAACAACCAACCCAGTACTCACCAGAAAGAACAGTGAGCCAATCTAAGCAGTTGCAACTGGGAAGAGCTTTGCCTCTCTAAAAAGCAGGTAAGTACAAAGGATCCATGAGGAGAAGTTCGAAAGAAGCTAGAGCAATCTAACTTGGTGACCTCTTGAAACCAAACAGACAAGCCAGTACTCCCTTCCAGAATAGAGCCCTCATGTGAAGCAGAAACTACTGGGAGTGGGATAAAAGTTTAGCAGAATGGGAACAGAGAGGAAAGAGACAAGCTTAAGATAAAAGGTGGGGAGGGGAATATGCTGGAAACCACCTTATTTCTTTTTTTTATAACATTACATAAAAACAATAGAGGAAGGGAGTCTATGGATTTAGAAAAGCTACCTTGAATCTCATCCCATTCTAAAAATTTAGGAAAATAAACCAGAATTTTCATAAAAATAAGCAACAAAAAAGTACAAAGGTCAAATTCCATATGAAGCTATTATTGGGGGGAGCCGGGGAGGGAAGAGACAGAATAACATCACTACTTTTAAATAAAAGCAAGCCAGAAGAGAACTGCCCACAAGACATATCAAACTGTAACCTATCTCAAAGCCAGCTAAAGGGATTGAGAAAATGAAAAGTGAAAGAAATGCACAACTCTGAAATAGACATGTTCAAGAATAACGTGGCAGACTCAAAAAAGAAAAAACATCATTTTGGAAATGAAGAGTAAACTATAGGGAATCCAAGAGTAAATAAATACAAAAGATAATATCATAAGAGCAACAAAAGATTAAAAGGATAAAAGTTGTTTAGAAATAAAAAAGAAATGAAAATCATATAAAAAGTATTAAAGAAAACGTGAGAATTACTAGTTAGGCAAAGATCCAACAAATAAGCAATAGGAGTCCTAGAAGAGAATCAAATAAAAAAAGAGTAAAAATAATATTAAAAACAATAATTTATGGAAAGTTCCCTGAAATAAAAAAGGTTTCAGACTACATATTGAAATCTTCACATCTCTGAGAATATCAACCCTGAATGGATAACATCAAGATGTATTCTAGTAAAATCACTGATCTCTAAAGAAGAGATCCTTTGGGCTTCTCAGCAAAACAAGCATGTGACTCATAAATATATGAAAGAAAATCAGATTACCTTCAGACCTCAGCAGCAAAGATTTATGCCAGAAGAAAATGGATAAATACATTTAACAAGTAGAAGGAAAGAAAATGTGAGCCAAAGATTTTATCTTCTGTTTTCTGGAAAGTGACTTTTAAGTATAAAAAGCATAGCAATTAACATGTAAGAACTAAGAGAATCTTTTCCATAATTCTTTACTGAGGATTTTACTTGAGAATAAGCTTCAGACAACTAAAATGAATAGAGAGACACTAAGAGAAACTGGCAGTGAGCATTAAAGATGTAGTTATTTATAGAACTCATACTAAGTGAGGGTTATAATGTAGAGTTATGCATGCTATGAGTATGTTCGTATAATACAACTACAAAAAATGGGGAAATCATATGTATAAAGCATTTTTTAGTAAACATACGATGGTAGTATTTGTCTTATTTTAGGATTACACTGTGTGTCACACTATGTGACCAAAATAAATAATTACAGGATATTCTAATTCTACATCCCTGTACCTTGAAAACTGATGTTCTTACTTTGAAAGGAGATGTAACTATAATATAGAAAAGGGTAAGTATAAATTCTATAGCCCTGAAATTAAAAGTATCAACTAAAGAGGTATACTATTAGCTTTAAATACTCACACACATGTACACACACACAGACACACATACACACGCAAACTTCCTGGCTCTACTGTAAGAGCCTAGAAAAATAACACTGGACCATGATTGTGATCCTGAAATACTATTTTCCACCAAAAGAAACCAGGGCTTATGGAGAAATAGCTAACTAGCTGCAAATCCAGATCAAGAAATGTGTAAGATGAGTCCATCTTGAGTTCAGGACAATTTGAAGGGTCAGTTAGCAAGGAAGCTATCAAAGATTATTAGGTCTATGTCAAAAGAACTTGGGAACCACCCTGAAGAGACTATTACCCTGAAAGACTGTTGGCCAAAGATAAAATAGTACGAGCTTCACTACAGATGATAATTCAATGAAGTAAAACTTGAATAGGTTTAAATCTGAGTTCGTAATAGTATTTTTCAAGTGAAATCAACTGGTCAAGCTTGAATGATGACAGAAGACCAGTTCATTAAAGTGAAAACCAGTAAATAAAAATTGGTGTTAAAAATTGTTTTAAAAAAGCAAATGGGAGAATCAAACATTTATTCTGCTTTTCCTAATTGAACTGTCGCAAGGTAACCAAATAGTCAATAAGGGAATCATCTTTTCATGAAAACATTCCAACTAACAACTGAAAGATGAAAGATATAACTAGAATACTACCATTTTGCAACCAAGCACCAATGAATTAATAGATCTGATTATTAAGAATTCAGGGTTGCTAGTACTACAAAAAGAGACAACCAGATAAAAGATCACAACACCATGTATGGTCCTGCCAAAGGGATCAAACCTGAAACAAATCAAATCTCTAGATTCACCTGTCAAAATACAGGAAATACATAGGAACTGTATTTTGAGTAATCAATTAACAAAATCCAGATGGTAGGAAATCCTACAACTTAAAAAGTCCAGGTTCCTGAACAAATACATTGAAGGAAAAGATATACATATGATTTTTTTTTTAAGTAGACAAGACTGAACTATAGTGTCTAGGGATGCACACAACTATAAAGAAATGCAAGGAAGTGACTACTCTTATACTCTTAAAGTCAGGATAGTGGTTCTTTAGAGGAGGAAAGGGATAATGACCAGGACATGAAAGGGTTTCTAGAGTTGCTGGTAAAGTTTTATTTCTTTCCTGATCACAGATTAAAAGGCTATTTGTTTCATAATAATTCCATTAAGGCATTTGTGTTTCTTATGTTTTAATAATAAATTTTTAAATTAAAAAAATGCACATTATACAAAGTCCCAAATGAATAAACGGGTATGCATTGACAAATATATCTCCCTCCCACCCCTTATACAACACCTCAGCTCCACTTTCTAGAAGCAACCAATCATTGACACCACTTTCTTTTGCATCCTTTCCAGAGACGGAATTGAATTATTTTTAAGGGATAAACAGAAGCATTTTAAGACAAACTAACTTTTCTTTTTTCTTCTTTAATTTTTATTGGAGTATAGTTGATTTCCAATGCTGTGTTAGTTTTAGATGTACAGCAAAGTGAATAATCTGTGATACATAAACATCTATCCACTCCTTTTTGGACTCTTTTCCCCACATAGGCTGTTACAGAGTATTGAGTAGAGTTCCCTGAGCTATACAGTCAGTCCTTATAAGTTATTTATTTTATATCTAGTAGTGTGTATATGTCAATCACAATCTCCCAGTTTATCACTTGACAAGGCAACTTTTAATGTATGATTATTTAAAGCCATGATTATTACATACCTCTTCAAAGAGACACAAAGCTGCCTCATAGAGTGAGCACAAGCCATCGGATGTTCTGGTTGGTTCCCTCCACTGACTCCGATCAGCAGATGAACCCTGTAATTAAGACATTGTGGAATACAGTTTGGTAAGGAGAGAGACATATATTAAAATCACTTAAACTGTCCACAAAACATTTAAAGAACTGTTTATATAGTTATGTGCTTTAAGATCAAATCCTAACATTACATGATGAAACCAACTTTTATGTGTTGTAAAAGAGGTGGCTATAGAATGAAGCAGTAAATTAAGTACCAATCCCTCACTGATTATCTTATTAAAGAGTGATTTGTTCTAAGGGTCACAGGTTTAACACAGAAACAGTCAAAGAGGCAGAATTTTGCCAATTACACACTCTCTGGGTGACCAATATTTAATAAATGAAGTGATGTGAAAGTCACTTGGTCGTGTCTGACTCTTTGCATCCCCATGGAATGTAGCCCTCCATGCGCCTCCATCCATGGGATTCTCCAGGCAAGAATACTGGACTTCCCTGGGGTTGCCTTGTTCACTTGCTCCTCGAATAAAGCAGCATACAGCCAACTTAACTGACAATCCTGACCAGAACAGCAGTTAAGTCTGTTCCTCCTTAGTATTGGCATAACAAAGGTCCCACAAGTCAGTTCATAGCTGAGGAATCATAGCTCCTCTCTGGGACTAACAGTCTAATCTAATTGTCCACTTGACTCTCCATATATAAACACCTTACAGGCATCTCAAATAAACATATTCAAAACTAAATTCCCTATCTAACATTTCCCCACATTCACCCAAACCAGTTCCTCCTATGCAACTCCTCCACAAAATGACCCAATGGTTATGACCAGAAATCACTCTTTTACTGAAAACTCATAAATCAGAGTGAACTTGACCTCCACTGTTCCCTTAAATTCCTATATTCTTAAATCTTTACATCACAAATATCAAGTTCCTTCTCTGATTTATTAATCTTATAATTGTAAAATTTTCACTGGTGTCTTTATTTCAAAAGCTATTGTTTATAAAAATACATTCTACATGATCACCTGGTAAATATACCATAGAAAAGTATATCCTCTACCGTAGAAGGGATTTGGGCCTACGTGCTCTGTAAGATCCCATTCAACTCCAGGATTATATGATTTTATCAATTTAAGGTATTTTAAATAACATGATTCCTAGGTAATGAAAGAAATGATACTGGCTATTTAATTTACTGCCAGGTCATCAGGTGCTAAGCTACTGCTACCAATTTTTCCTCTTAATCCCTTACAGTGGTACTTCTGGAATTTTAATGTAAACATGAATTATCCAGAAATTGTTAAAATGCAGATTCCAATTCAGTAAATATAGGTGGGGGCCTTAGATTCCGCATTTCTAACAAGCTTCCAGTGACACCAGTGCTGCTGTCTGAGGCTCACATTTCAAATAGTAAGGCTTTAGAGAGCCACTTGCAGGTCTCAGAGTCAAATCAGAAGTTGACTGTTCAAAATTACCTACACATAAGGTGTGGCTATACCAGAAAATACTATAAGGTAGAGCCTCTCCAAATTCCATAATTAGCAGTATAAAACCTCTGGGAAAAACACAATTGAAATCTGTGATTCCATTCTTTAAAGGTCATCTCTACTGATCACTAAACCAAAAGCAGATGAGAAACAACAGCTTACTATATACCTTCTTGGGAGCTGGTATCAGGACTATAATAATTGGTTTTCTTATGCCTGTTTACAGTATAAAGGAAAACACTGAAAACAACATAAGGTTTTCAGTAAGCATAAGGTTTTCAGTAACAGACCTGTGTTTAAATCCATGCTTCATCACTTATGGGCAATGTGACTTAAGGATTAGTTTCCTTATCCTTTGACAGGAATAACGCCTCTTTTATTTAGGGCTGTTGGGGATAACAACTGAAATTATGCATAAAACATCTTTAGAACAGTTCTTAATACATAGAAAGAACTCAAAACTAGAAGCAGTAATTGTCATTATTTTGTATGATGTACACAGAGAAAGAAAACACAAGAAGTCTTTAATATATTTTTGCACCAAACCAATTTTTTAAAAAATTCTTCAAATCTGTCTGCAGTGACTGTCGTTGATTTCTATTCTCCCCAAAAAATCAGTATTAACTGTGAGACTAATCCCTCCCCAGTCAATTAGGATTAAAGACATCTCTAAAACCCATTTTGTATAGAATTCTTAATGTGTTTTGTAAATATACTGCGTAACAGAAAAAGAGGGCTACATCTAGGCATTTTTCATTTTGGAAAATAAAGCATAAGTGTGTAACAATTTACACACTGCTAACAGGAAGTTCAAAGGTCTAAAGATACAGGGGAAATTAAGATAACAAAAATATGTGGTTTTACAGGTCTTCATTAAATTCCCTTTCTCTTATTTACCTACCATCATAATATCTTTTCATTTTTTCCCCACCTATCTTTTTATTAATAAGATAATCAGACAAGAACATTAAGACTTGATGGACTACATTTCCTTATGTTCTTGCTATCTGGTTTTATTCTTCTTCCAATTGTTTCAGTGACTCCCCACTGCCTACAGAATTAAGCTCAAAACCCCACAGCCTGGGATACGTGGCCCCACCTAGCTTGTCAGCCTTAGCTCATCCCATTCCACCTTGAACATCCAGAAACCTGCTCTCCCACACCTCCATCACTCTGTGAACACTAAACCTCTCACCTGAAGACTTTTTCAGCTCTCCCACTCACAAACCTCATGTTTGCAAGCAAACTCTTACTTTTCAACTAAACTTAGGCACCCTTCATTTTCAGCCCCTTCCCCTCTAGCCTTCCTCCTATTGAGAGAGTCATTTCCTAGGCAGGTTGATAAGAAGTCTAGGGGTCCCCAAGTAGAGAGAGGTCTGGGATATTCAAGGAGGAACAAAGGACAAACTTTTTTACTTTTTTTCCTCTACATTCCTTAGGATTATATAACAATAACGTATCCTGCCTGAGGACAGTCTTTGGATTAAACCCTCTGGCTAATTCTGTTATCTTAAAACATAAATGATGGGAGTAGGTCTGGTCTTTACAAGGATGTATCCTGCCTGAGGACAATCTTTGGATTAAACCTTCTAGCCAACTCTGTTATCTTAAAATGTAAATATGGGAGTGGGTCTGGTGAGGTCTTTGCAACCTCCAGACATTCTTTGGATTCATTGGAGAGTATATAACTCCATTGCTAATACTAGCAAAGGGGTACTCTTTTGCCCCCTTCTGATGCCTATGTCAGAAGCTTTCTCTATCTCCTTTACACTTTAATAAACTTTATTACACAAAAGCTCTGAGCGATCCAGCCTCGTCTCTGGCCCCGGAATGAATTTATCTCCTCCGGAGGCCAAGAATCCCGTGTCTCATCGTTCAGCAACAACCTTTCACTATGTCCCATGACCTTGTCCCTATGCAGACCTCTACTACAGTCCAATACCATTAACATTAAATGTCTATGCATCCCTCTTTCTTTAAACGGTAAGCTAGATAAAGGTATGGATGCTACAAAGCTTATTCATCTTTTCAACCCAGAGCCTAGCAATATCTGGCACACAGTAAATACCTAGTGGTATCAAATGCCAAAGATGTCTTTATTGCTGTTTATATTTTTAGTTTATTTTTTTTAGGATGTGGGGATATACAGTGACATTATTTCCCCACTCTTTATTTAAATATAAGTTAATGATTATCTTGCAAGTTTGCACTCAAACCTCTGAATTACTGCATGAGTGGGTAGTGGAGGTAAATCACACATGTAAATACAATTTAAGGATGAACTCTTTTTTTTTTTTTTAAAGGCCTTATACCAGTTTCCCAATGACTTAGCAAGTAAACAATTCGCCAGCAAAGCAGAAGACACAAGAGATGCTGGTTTGATCCCTGGGTGGGGAAGGTACCCCGGAGAATCCATTCCAGTATTCTTGCCTGAAAAATCCCATGGACAGAAGAAACTGGTGGGCTACAGTCCAAAGGGTCCCAAAGAGTTGGACACAACTGAGTGACTAAGCATACCAGGCACTCAATTGATGGTTATGTGTCTCTCCCTCTAACTTCTATTAATAGCTTGGGGATAAGTTTTACCTCAGCTGCTCATGAGGAGAAAATCTTAAGAGAGTGAGAATCAGGTCAGGATGGGGTCCAGTGCACCAGGAGAGGCTCGATACTTTATGAGTTCTCTACCAACAACAACAACTGATAACACTGTAAAGTGTAAGAAATATGAATTCTGGAGACCAAGAGCATCAGATCCTATCACTCACTGTGTAAGAAAGAATAATAAATACCAAGTTCAAGTTAATAACCATCTCTTTTCCCTAAAATCTATCCGAAATTTAATTAAATTCAATCTAACATAGGCCTGTGGTGACTCCCGGAGGGCCAAACTAAATCACACAAACATGCAAAATTCTTCCCCAGAATGTACCTAGAATTCTGACAAAAGCTATCTGGAGTATCCTAGCCCCAACAGAAAGTTATAACATAAGGGTACAGCCTAGGAGGGGAAGAAAGGAGGCCCTTTCTGCCTAGGTGAATACAACATTCTGTACAGAAATGAAAGAAGTCAAGTGGAGAGAAAATTGGAAATCCAGCAATAAAATAAGTTTATTGTATTTTATATCTGCTTTAAGGTAGGCCTTCATGGGGGAAAAAGTCAGTCAATTTAACATAGATAGTATAAAAGCTGCATATAGCAGTCAGAGAAAAACACGGGCTTTGCCGACAGACTAGGGGTTGTAGGAATTGGTTAACACAGTTCCTGGCCTATCCGTGCTTAATTAGGAGTACACCTGTACTTTGAGTTCTTTTGACAAATAGGTGTGTAACTTTGGATAAACGCCACAATTTCTTCATCCTTAAGATAACAGTAAATAGTATCTTCTTTACAGATTAACAAGATAATTGAATGAGACGCTGCTTGTAAAAAGCACCTGGTAGATAGCAGGCACTCAACAAAGGTTAGAGCTCTTCTTCCCTTATGCCAGGTACTGGGAAGCAGTAAGTAAAAATCCAAAAAAATGAATGGAATAGTATACTATACATTAATTAAATGAATATTGAAGTTCATTATATAGGTAGTAAGTATATTTAGTATGAAGATTTCTTAAGCTTATAGAGCCAATTTAAACTCACAACCAAATATGCATACAAACATTTCCAACATGCTAAAAGACAACAAAACTCAACAGATACAGAGAAAAGCAATTTACTTTCTTTGGGCATCCTCTTCCCACTAAGGAGCAATACTGCAGGATAAGGTTTAGAGGGTAAGATGGGGAAAACACCTCTGACTCAGGGTATTTAGAATTTTGGTTAAAAAGGAAATACACCAGGGGCAAGCATACAATCATGTAAGTTGATTGTGCAATAATTAACATCTTTTCTTTATGACAAAGGCAATGGAAAATAAATGGGACTGTAAAATGAAGAAGTGAGTAACTCCTCACAGAAATATTAACACGTGACCAAGAGGAGATACATTATTTTAGGTCATCAAATGGCATCACATATTTGAAAATGGTGTAAATTTAGAAAACGTTACCAGAAAGTATTAAGAATTGCAAAATAAAATGAGAAACACAGATATGCAATACATGTTTAAATATTCAATAAGAAACCACAAGAGGCCTAAATGCCTTTCACTGCTGTTACCTCAAATCTTTCTTACTCAGATCACTGCATCTCTGGCTCTAAGTCTCTACCTTGGATAAAGATCATAGGGCCTTTCCAATATTCCAGATTCGGAGCAAAGCACCACATGCTTTCCTGTGTACATTTTATTCAACATTAAGAAATTCAAATTTTCATAGATATAATCTAGAGTCTCCAAGTACTTACTTACAATAAAATTATTTGTAAAAAAATGACCCAATATTTACTATTCAGTTCACAAACACAAAACATAAGTAGGTGAAAATTTAAATACCCTGGTTTAAAAGTAAATTCAATGTAATTGTTTTTTATGAAACATTCCTGTCAATCCAAGAGCTCTCCACCTTTGGCAGGAGGGAAGACATGAAATATACACACATAATTTATAAATCATATTCTTATAAACTAAATTTGTTAAATGATATATGATATCTGTGATAAAGGACACCAAAAATGCTGATCAATGTCACCCAACTGAGAAGATCCCTAAGAATCCACCATCTGGTTTTGTGCGTGCGTCCCCTCGGACACTTTCTACAAGGTCCACTGCAAATCAGTCTTATTCAGTGCCCTCACTGTAGAATTTAAAAACCTTACTGTTGATTGCCCATGGTGGACTTGATGGAAAATAAATATCTTACATTATGCTTTACAAAAAAAAAAAAAAAAAATGAAATTAAGTCAATTTATGAGTGTTTTGATCTTTATATTCCAAATTCGTATTCTTATTTCAAACTTTTATTCTGTTTTCAAAAAGCATTAAATTTCAATTTCAGAAATTCTTGAAATTGATCATACTGCACTACATTTTACTCTTTATTCTTTAATATGGTATCCAAAGTTAGTTCCTTTATGATAATCAAGTAATTAAATTCCTTCATGAACAAGAACATATTCATTACAGATCTAGGACGCTCAGTTCATCACTCCCCTCCATTCAGGTCTCTGCTCAAATGTCACAATTCAGCGACATTCTTGACCACATTAACTAAAATATCACATCTATCCCCTCCCCAATCTCTGCTTGAATCCATCATTTTGCATTCCCTTTCCCTCCCTTATTTTAATTCTTAGAACTTCACACTACCTGAAATTTATATGTATTGTCTGATTCCCCCACCAGGCTGTGAGATCCATGAAACTACATTTTTCTCTGCTGTATCCCTAGGGCCTAGAATAATACTTAGCATATAGTAAATATTTAATAAAAATTGAGAAGCTTGAAATTAGCAATTTTTTGGTCAAAAAAAGATCTCCATACTCACCAGCCAAGGCCCCTCATTTTACATTTGAGTTCGCTAAAACACAGTGAAGTTAGATGAATTTCTCAAGTTTGCATAGGAAGCCATAAAACTTAAACTACAATCCTGACTCCTGATTCAGAAGTCTTAACATAATACCAACTAGTTTGTCCTTAAATTACATATTCACATCAACACATATAAAGTTCTTCACTCCAAGTATGTAAAATATTTAACTAGCCTAACATCACCAGGAGAATTCTCAAATCGTTCACTGTTACCACCAATTCATTAAAAGCTGAGTTGACCTTTTCCAAAATTGTTAGATAAGAATTTTAAAGCTGAGATTTATAATACATACCAAAGAACGCCTCATCTGCATTAATATAGTCATAAAGCAGTCAAAGCTGATCATTCCTTCTTGGCTTGACGGTAGTTTGTTTTTCTCCATGGAATTTACAACTGCTGAAGCCCCCAATGCCATTTCTATCCATTCAAGGAGATACCGCAAAGAACCTCGCTGAGCTGCTAAACCAAGCAACAACTCAGAAGCTAATCTACGACCTAAAGTGTCTGCTCCAGAATTGGGAATAGTTACTCCTTTAAGAAAGGTTGTTACTTGTGATAAGCAATCCAAGCCCATAGGTGGAATCTTGCTTTCATTTGCTAAAGATAATGGTGGCAAAGAGCTCACAACTTCAATTGCAGTATGAATAACGTCATTGCAAAGACTGAGACCAGGTCCCGACACAGGCATCATCCAACTTTGTCTCAGAAGTGCAAATAATAAACTTAGACCAGTTCGAACACCCATTTCTATAAGTGCATCAGTGCTTGATCGAGGACGTTCACTAACAGAATGGACATCTGCTGAACCAGAGCTGCTCTCCGGAGAATGCTGCTGCTGTTTCACTTTGCCTTTGTCGTGGTATTTATTAGAAAGTGCATAGAAGACACGCTGGAGTACAAGCAATCGTTTTCGAAGTGCCCCAGCAAATGGGGAATCTGAACATACCATCTTTGCAAGTGCTAGCTGACTGCTAAGAAGGGCATCCAAATAGTGGTCCTGTTCATCACTTGAAAGAGATTCACGTTCAAAGTCTGGCAGCTGGGGTCCTTTGAGGCACAAAACTTGTTGAGGCAAAGGTACTACTTCCTTATTGCTGACCAGTTTAGAATATAAAACAGCAACCCCCTCTCTTGTAGCAATAGATTCACTGTCCTCTGTAATCCAGGAGCTGTTGAGGTGTTCAAGCCATTTCAGTTTCACTGGTGGAACCATAGTTGCCATACTGATTTACTCTTCAGCCATTAGTTCTATAAAGAGAGAAGAAAAAGCAATCAAAAACCTATGAAGATACTTCAGAAAATGTTTCTTAACTTTCATCATATATTACAATTAGTAATCTCAAACTGATGAAGCACAAAGTCTGGACTTTAGTTAACAGTTATGTACCAATGTTAGTATTTTAGCTTCAATAAATGTACCATGGTTATTTAAGATGTCAATATTAGGGAGAAACGGGTGAAGGTCATATGAGAACTCTGTACTATCTCTGCAACTTTAATGTAAATCTAAAATTATCACAAACTAAAAGGTTTATTTTAAAAATCAGTGATTTATGTACCTTTTCTCTTTGGGTTCTGGTCCCACTACCAGTGTAACAGTGGGTTCTACATGAAGATGGACCCCAGATTTGTATCTCCTGGCCTCTCCTCTGAATTCCAAACTTATAAATGTAATTGTCCACTTGACCTCTCCACATATAGACACCTAACAGGCATCTCAAATTAAACAAATTCAAAACTGAATTCCCAATCCAACATTTCCCCCACACCCACCCAAACCTATTCCTCTTGTGGAATTCCTCATTTCAATAAATGGCAACCCTATCCTTCCATTTCCTCTGGCTAAAAAACTTTGGGAGCCATCATTGACTGCTCCCTCTTATACTCCAAATTCAATTAGTCAACTCTACTCTCAAAATATAGCAACAATCGAAATAGTTCTCACACCCTTCCGTTGCTAAAACTCCAGTCTAAGTCATCATCTCTTGGATCACTGAAGAAGCCTTCTTACTGGTCTCCCTGACTGTACAGAGAAACCAGAGTGACTCCAAAACAGCAAGAATTTTATATATTTTGTTTATTGCTGTATTCTGGCATATGGTAAGTGCTCAGTAAGTATTTGTTGACAAAAAACACTTAAAAACTAAGTTTGCTGGGATAAAATATTCACAAGACATATATCCTACAAAGGACTATCATCCAAGACACAATTAAGGACTCCTACAATTCAATAATAAAAAGACAACCTAATTTTTAAAATTGTCAAAGAGGATGTGAAGAGAACTACACCAAAGATATGTGAATGGCCAAAATGCATAAGTGCTCAACATCATTATTCATCAGAAAAATGCCAGTTAAAAACATAGAGATACTAATACACATCCACAAGGATTAAAATTAATAAGGCTGACAGAATCAAAGGTTAGCACGGATGCAGAACAATCAGAACTCTCACAAACCATTTGTGAAAATGTAAAATCTGAACAGCCACCTTAGAAAGACGTCTAGTAATTTCTTATAAAACTAATCATGCATGAGTATGTGCTAAGCTGCTTTAGTCATATCTCTTTGCAACCCCATGGACTGTAGCCTACCAGGCTCCTCTGTCCATGGAATTCTCCAGGCAAGAATACTGGAGTGGGCTGCCATGCTCTCCTCCATGGGATCTTCCAACCCAGGGATCAAACCCACGTCTCTTAAGTCTCCTGCATTGGGAGGCGGGTTGTTTACCATTAGTGCCACCTGGGAAGCCTCCAAAACTAAACATGTATTATTAGTTTGTTGATAACCCAACAATTTCTCTCCTACAAATTGACCCAGAAGAAAACACAACCATGACCCAGAAGAAAACACAACCATAAGAAGATTCAATGCTAAATGACAGCTGCCTCTAGAAGGCAAGGGCATGAATAGACTGGGAAGGGCATGAGGTAACTTCCTAAGGTGATGGCAATATTGGATTACAAAGCTTTACGCATTTGTAAAAACACAGTGAACATATATTTAATATTTTACATTTCACTGCATGTAAATTTTACCTTAATCAATACTGAACTCCAGTTGATATAAATATATTATGGAGTTGATATACATATATTAAAAAAGCATATATTTGGAGGAAATATACTGATGTGAGTAATCTTGAAATAAATCAAATTATAAGATGCATTGATGGGTATGTGTAAACATAAATATATGTATATATATACACATACACACATACATATGGATAAGCTATATGACAAAACAAGTATAATAAAGTATTAATGAAAGAACCTCAGTGTTGAGTATATATGCCTATTCATTTTTAAGTCTTTCAACTTTGCTGTATGTTTGAAAATTTTCATCATAAAACGTTGCAAGGGAGTGGAGACTAACTCCCGCTTTTCAAGCAAGTCCCCAGGACGGTAGTCATGAGAATGGTAGAGAAAGATCCTCATATACTGAGGGGTATTTTATTTTCAAGATATAGATAGATCTTAAAGAAAGAGCTCCAGTGATAGATAAGCCAGGCTAATTAAAAGGAGTTTCCTGTTTCTAAACACATCCTGTCAAATTCTAAATATAAAATCTAATGGTACTTCCCTTTTCAAGTTTATAATTACTATGCTTTATTTATCTTCACTAGATACTTGGAAAGTATATACTTAGGAGAGGGAAAATAAAACCATAAGCCTCCTTCCACTTTATTCAGCAAAGTATTAACCTAAACACTGTGCAGAGGATATAAAAGTACCTTATTTACCTCCATCCCTGTGAGCCACAGGTAATTTTTCTCTTTTTAATTTTGCTAGTTTGATTGCTATAAAGGACTATGTCACTGCTCTAATTTGAATCTCCCAGATCACTAACATCTGGGAAATGCTTATTCGTGTCCTTCTAGTCACATATTTTTCTACTGGTTATTTTTCCTGTCAATTTGTAAAAAGTTTTTGCATTTTATCATTGTTTTCAACACTGCAAATATTTCTTCTAAATCCACCTTTTGCATATACACACATCTTTTCTTCTATAGCTCCTGCTTTCCATTCTTGGTTAAAGGAGTATCCCAACATCACCATGCTCTTACACATGACTTATAGATTTTCCAGATATTCACCTGGATTTTCTTGAGGTCTATTTTTATGTTTTTACACATGAGTCTTTACATAAATTTTACATTCATCTGGCATTTTAATAAGCTCTATATGGTTTAAAATTGGATTCCAATTTTATTGTTTCCATGTAGATGGCTAATTATGCCACTACCATTTATGAAGTAATCCAGGACTTGCAAAACAGCTGAGGACAGTGGCATGACATAATTATCTCCCCAAATTTCTTCCCACACAGTAAGGAAAAACTAAATTCTACACGAAACTACACCTACAGCATAATTTGAAGATATATTATGACAAAATTGCAAATTAACTGTAAAAAAAAGAAACAGTGTCAATCCCAATGCACATACTCTCACCTCAAAACAGCCACAAGGCTTTGGGCAAGCAAAAGCAGACTACGAAAATCTGTAGAAGACAGAGAAGAGCAATGATAGTGAAGGAGCCTAAAAGATGATCTTGGAATGACTGCCAGAAAGATTAAATCCACACTAAATCTGAAAACACAGAACAAGTGTCCAGAACACAAACTACAAGAAAGAAATTTCAAAGTACATTTAAAGGGTCAGGAATGATTTAAAGAAGCAGGTACAATTTTAAATGACAGGTATGATTTATGTGAGTAATCCTTGAAATGCAGAGAGGAGAAAAAAGACAAAAAAGATGAAAGAAGATTTCTTTGGCAACTGGATGGTAAAGGGTAAAAGAAAAAAAGTAGGAGTGAATATTTAGGGTTCTGCAAGACAAAAGAGAACCATAAAACTGGAGATATAACAAAGCTTCCTCTCAAGCAAAAGAAACAAATGACATACACACACACACAAATTCTTCAAAGTACTTGGACTTTGCTGTATAGACAGAAGAGGGTTCCATTCAGCAATAGTGTTGCAGACATAGAGAACAGACTTGTGGACACGGTGGGAGAAGGAGATGGTGGGATAAATGAGAGAGTAGCACTGAAACATAAACATTACCATATGTAAGAAACAGATAAGCTAGTGGGAAGCTGCTGTATAACACAGGGAGCTCAATCCTGTGCTCTGTGACAACTCAGAGGGTGGGATGGGGTGGGGGGCAGGACGGAGGTATTATGCATAAGAGGGAGAGGACATATGTATACTTATGGCTAATTTATGTTGTATGGCAGAAGCTAACACAACATTGCAAAGCAATTATTCTCTAATTAAAAATTTAAAAAGAGGGTGCCATTAAGTTAGGAATATTATTTTCTTAAAAGCCCAATACCGTAAAAATGAACAAGAAAAAAGTCCACAAAGAACTACTACAGAAAATCAGGAAAGTTCACATACATCAACTAAGGGAAAGCTTCCTGATAAAAAGAAAGCATAAAATAATAAAACTTAACAATTCAAACAAAACAACATATTTAAACACTTGAGGATATAAAAAATCTTGATTCAGAAATTAGAAAAATAAAATCAGAAAAAGACCACATAAATAAATAAAAGTTTTTGAAAAGGTAAGGGACAAGGAGAGAAGGCTGAGTGCTGAAGAATTGATGGTTTCGAACTGCAGTGCTGGAGAAGACTCTTGAGAGTCCTTTGGACAACAAGGAGATCAAACCAGTCAATCCTAAAGGAAATCAACTGTGAATATTCATTGGAAGGACTGATGCTGTAGCTCCAATACCCTGGCCACTTGATACGAGTGAGCCGACTCATTTGAAGACACTAAAGCTGGGAAAGATTGAAGGCAAGAGGAGAAGGGGACAACAGAGAATTAGATGGTTGGATGGCATCACCGACTCAATTAGTTTGACTGAATTCCGGGAGACGATGAAGGGCAGGGAAGCCTGGCGTGCTGCAGTTTATGGTGTCACAAAGAGTCGGACACAACTCAGCGACTGAACAACAAGAAAGAAATGGAAGAAAAAGACAAAATTCTTGGAAATGAAGAATGAATTATAAAGTGTCCAAGGAAGAGTAGACACAAATAATAAGTTAGCAAGGGCAAGGACAACTAAGGGGTGCAGGTGGGGGAAACAACTATGAGAATTAAAATCTCTCTCTCTCTCTCTCACACACACACACACAAATTAGTGAAAGCAGTGGAAACAGAAGAGAAGCAAATAAGGGCAACTATTTGTACTACTGGACTATCTAAAAAAGCAAAACAAAACAAACAAAAAAA